TGCTAACGCTAGTGGTCTCCAGACCGTGTCCACTGTCATTTAGTTGTTCATTATAAATGCAATTAAAAGTACACAAAGTCGCTATAATACAGCAGAATTGTATTAGCTATATATCGTAAGGTCCGTTACAGCCTTAGGCACTACTTTTTTAGGATAATTGGTGTCGTTCTGGTTCTGCTGCACTGCGATCAGGCTAGCCGCCTTTTTGGAAGCGAACTCGCACTTAATTTATACTTGTGGCAGCTTTACTTCAGTTCGTAATACATATCGTCTGTTTGCATGAATGTGATATGCGACATTTTTTATTTGCTTTACTTCTAGCACAACAGACTATCCCATCCTGCCCTACACCAGCCCTCAGCACCTTCCTTGAATACAGAAAAAAGAAAAATGAGGAGCGACAAAAATATTCTCTTGGGAAAAAGGGGTTAAAACAAAAGGACAAAAAGAAAGTTAGGGTAGGTCCGGTATGGCTCCAACCAAAACAAGCAGCTTTTAACTAATGGACTTGCTTAAAGAAAGTTCTGCATAGCACAGCTATACAGAATAATTGTTTAACAGTAACAGCAAACTGTCAATTCATGATCAGTCAAAACAGTAAATCATCTATTGATTAATTACTGAGTAATAGTTGTCAAAGCATTGTTCTGTTTGTATCCAAATCTGTAGTTCAAAAGTAAAAGCTTGAAAATGACTGATATGAATAGCTAATGGATCTGTTTGCATGTTATTGTAATATAAGCCAGGAGGAATTAAAAACAACACATTTTTTTTTACTATTCTTTAAAAAAGAAAAAAAACATTGCTCAATCTTCCACATAATTTTTTGTTTCAGATAAATATTGGATTGATGACCATTCTGAACAATTGTCTAAAGCCACGGCGTGGAAAAACCATTTCGGTTGCAACAAACCCAGAAGTCTCTGCCACACCTCTCCTCAGTCTTGCTATTAAAAAAATGAAGGACTTCAACAAAGATGTCAAAGATGGACCTTTCCTCCTTCTGTACCCAGATGGGACAGAGGTTATTAATATCCCTGGGACACAAACACCTTTTACCCTTGCAGCTTACAAGGCTGAAGTTGGCAAGACATATCAAAGGATATGTCTTTTCCTCTGCTTGAAAAGAGACTTTGAAGAAGGTAAGCTCAGATGTCTGCGCTTACATTGGCACATTGCAATAACTGCAATAAATCTAAATCTTAAAGCTGTGCAATTAAGCATTAGTGGCATGAATCAATAAAGTAATAGGTGTACATAGATTGGCTCTGACATGTGAAGTTACTTTCTGGACACTTGATAGGTACATTCAGTTTTTTGTTTTTACCAGTGCTATGTTTGTCCTTTCTGATACAATGTAATATAGTTGACCGAATACAGTACTATCACTTAGTAGAAGTTAAGTTGGTTTGTTTTTTTCCCCTTGTTTTGCAGTTGGAAAATTGTCAGACTTGTCCGATTCTGACCCAGAGATTGTTATTAGAAAATCCTCCGACTTTGATCTTGCTGATACACTGGTAAGTCCAACTTCAAATGTATTTGGTCTGTCATTTTTATTTGGTTGAGTGATCACAACAAGCGCATTTTACCTAAGCTTCATTGGACTATGAAGATGTTAAATTGTGTTTCATTTTCTTCAGCCATGGGAACCTATGGATGAGAGCAGTCGTTTACAACAGGTGGCAGAAACACAGTAAGTTATTTTAGGGACATATCATAGCATGATGTGTGTACATGTATCAATAGTATTATAACCTTCATTGCATTTCATATAGTATGGATTGGTGACATGTTGAATGTGGATATTTGTAAATTATGTGGTTATGGGAACATGTCCAATGAAGTTTTTTTTTTTTTTTTTCAAGATGCTTGTTTTTAAATGTTGAATATACTGGATTGGAAATAATTATTAGACCACCTTTGCTTTCTTCATATGACTTCATATGTTCAAATTACCCATTAATATGTTTTTTCATTGTCCTTTAAGTAATGGTGTTGGGGATCTTGCACTTGCAAATGAAGTAAAACAGGTACAACTTTTTATTATGTCACACCACAATCCACAGATTTTTATCTCAAACCTTTTAGTAAAATATTTTGATAATTAAAATAACTGTAGAATAGTCAATTATTAAGTTTCATTTTACTCTTTTCTCTGTTTTTCAGGTTATGGATTTGGATGACAACAGCAACAATCCAAGCACCAGTGAATGTGTCCCTGTCCAGAGCTCCTGTTACAGGTGTGTAATGGCTTCTGTCATAAAGAAGAAGGGTGTGTGTTGTGTCATCATGACAAGGTGATACTGATAGATCTATTGTGTCATCTAAAGTGCATTTATTTACTTCGAATGTTGTAAATATAACTTCTGACATAAATGGAATGTTTTGTGAAGGACAGTTGGAAGTTCCCCCCCCTCCATCTATATTGTGTGCACGTTTTTGCTCCACAGAGACTACACCAATCTCTTTGAGCCCATTGTTATTGATGATGATGATGATGATGATGATGATGATGATGGGATTGAATATTTAACCGAAGACAAAAAGCAAGACCTGCCCCCAGAAGAACATGCGTTAGTAATTTTAATATTTTGTATTAAATTAACCAGCATCCTGCTCATGCATAATTACATAATGCTAAGTGTGATCAGTCAACTGCTTTAAAATATTTTTTTTCTAGAGAAACAAATGTGCAGCCACATGATATTATTGCAGAACTGGCCATGGGTATTGACCACAAGAAAGTCAGCCGGTTCAATATATGTCGGACTGATGTGTGGGATGGAGCTGTTCGGGGCTTTCAGAGGAGCACATACTCCGACAAGAATGACATGTTCATCAAAACGATGATGCTGGCTGGTTGGAGGAAGGGTTGGACACAGGTGGCCCGAGGCGTGAGTTTCTCACGCTTCTCATGGCCATTCTGAGAAATCGCCCGATCTTTGATGGACCCCAGAAAGTCGTTACATTGTGTGCAATTCGAGAGGTGAGACATTTTTTTGGGTTTGTGAAGTGGTAGTACTTCTAAAATCAAAATTTGCTGAAAAATCAGCTTATGTTTTTGTCATAAGCAGATCTAAGATTTAATTACCCACAGTAATTCTGTGCTCTGTACAACAGCTGCCAGGGAAGATGAGTATTTTTTAGCAGGAAAGATGATTGCCGTATGTATTGTACATGGGGGACCAGCACCACATTTCTCTCAAAGAACCTGGTCAACTACATGATAGGGAATCCAAGTTTCAGCGCCACTGTTGAAGATGTTAAAGATGAGGAGATAGGGAAAGTTCTGAAACAGGTAGGAAATTACCTAGGCATAGGGAATAGAGTTATTGTATGCCAACTGGAGATTATTTTCATTTTATTTATTATTATTTTCAGATTGAGATTACGAAATGATTATGACAAAGTACCAAGTTTGTTTTATCAAAGCTTGACAAATGTTTTTGCTGTGAAAGGCCCGATTTCAGCCTGTCTCAACAGATGTTACATTACAAACACACAAAATGTTAATGCTATGTTTTTATTCATAACAAAGATGTTTTTAAATTATAGTTCTGTACTTCTTCTGGAATACTGCTTGTTTTGTAGGTCCTGGAAGCTGATTCAGATGAATCTCTGCTAAATGTAATTTTGCAAAACAGTGGGATGTTCCAAACTGCTGGATGCTTCAGAGGGGTGAAGGCTTCTGAGAAGAAAGCTTTTGTAGAGGAGTATCTCAGATGGTACATCCTTGACAGAAACCACAGTGCCATTCAACGGTAATCAATAAATAGTTATAAATAATTAAAAACTATTCTGAAGTTCTATGCTCAGTACTCAAGATCATTGAGTGTTGATCTAGAGTATCGATGCTCAATGTCAATACTGTGAACAACTGCCACTGACATCATGACACTAATTAACTAAGAAAAACTAATTAGGTATAAAAAATTGGGATCAGATTAGAGATATGACATTAGTAGATCAGACATCAAATTTAACCAGCTTCCTTCCTTAATTGTTTTTGTTTTTAATCTGTCGTAGGTAACACATCTTTTTTTTTTTTCTGAAAAATTGTGTGAAATATTAGAATATACAGAGCAATACTTGCCAAATTCTGAGTTTCACCACTTCTATCATCCATTCGGAATTTTATGTGCAACAGGTTTTGAATCGTTGTTCACCATTACACAGATTAATCATAGGCATGGCACATGAAAAATATTTCAATGTGACTTATAAAAATATACTGTTGCATGACAATTTCGTTTTTTGCACAATGAAAACATTTTTTTAAGTTTCGATTTTATATTTTACTTTTAATGATAACTTTTGAGCACTGTGGAAAATTAGCTTTACTTTTATTTTTTGTTTATCTTTTTGACTTTATATATACTCTATCAATACAGTACATTGCTTATCGTTAACAGATTCAAAGATGGACTGGCAAGTCTTGGTTTTTTTGCTGCACTGCAGCAGCATTCCAGTGTCCTGTCCCCAGTCCTATGTTTCTCTGCCAAGGCTCTGACTGCTTCAGACTTGGAGACCATGTTCCAACCAGATCTCAGCCCTGTAGGAAGCAACAGGCGGCAAAAGGAGGGCAAAACAATTGTTTCTGGGCAGATTATTTGCTTGATTGCGAAGGTTAGTAAGAACAAATTGTGTTATTCTAAAATTGTTTGTTTTATTGGAAAACAAAATAAAAAGAAATAATTTGTACAAGGCATTATCTATTAACTACATTGTTTATCATCTTTCAGAGAAAACAACTGCTGTATCTCTAGAGGAAGTCCTGATGTTTGCAACAGGTCTCACAACGATTCCACCAGCAGGGATGATCCCATCCCACATCTTGAGTTTTTGAGTGATTCACCCTTTCCTATTGCAAACACCTGTGCAAACACACTTAAACTGCCACTTTTGGAATCTTACGCTGATTTTAGAGCTAACATGGACTTTGGAATACAAAATGCTCCGGGATTTGGATGTTACTAAAATTGAAAAACATGGTTCTTGGTTAAATGTGTTTCCAAAAAATAGTTTGTTTTGCAAAACCTTTTTCTTGTTATGTTCTTTCTCGCAACTTTTAGCAAGTTAAAACAAATACTCAAAACTGTTAATTAAGAGTGTAATGTCAGATTTTATCTTCATAGTTCAAACTAAATGCACAATTTTGTGTATTAAAAAAAGTTTAATTCTGAATAACAATGAAGTTTTCACTTTATATCAACAAAATGAACAGGAGACAAAATATAAGATTTGATGTTGCTTGTTTGTGTTCACAGCCTCGCAATGTTTTTGAGCAATAAATACAATTCCATTGCTGACTCCCAGTCTTGTGACTGCTGTTGTCCATGTTGTTGCATGGCTTCCTGTAGGTATTCCTCGATGTCTTTATCCCCACACAACTCTGTCACCTGACTTGCTTCTGGGAAAACATCCAGATCGCTGTCCTCAACAGGAAATCCACAATCTCTTGATCCATATCTGCAAAGTCAGAATATAATTAATAATAGAATTGTGACAGCTGTTTTCTCTATTTAGTACAAATACTTGGAATCGTCTTTTTTTTTGCTGGCTATAGTGAGCACTATCAGTGACAGCTTATACAGTGTATCACAAAAGCAAATACACCCTTCACATATAAGCTGTACTCACACTACTTTTCATTGTGTCAAAGTGAATTGTTGGTGTTATCCCATGACAAAATATACTTTAATAGCTGCGGAAATGTGAAGGGTGTACTTACTTTTGTGTACATTAATAGCTATAGGTTACTTGTACATAGATAATAAGTGTCCTAACAACACTTCTGCATTATTATGTAATGTCAAGCATTATTTCTATTTGTGAAGATGTCAATTACCTGTGAGGCAAGAGATAGAGTTCGTTAGGAATCCCCCCAGGACATGATGCAAGTCTGCTTGGCCGGATCCTGTGGTTATTCCAGAGACCTTTGCATTCATCCAGGTCTTTCTGCAGAACTCTGGTGAAGCAGAATCTGAGCAAGCACTGGTGCTCATGGCTTCCGTTGAAGTTTCCAGAGTCTCTTAAATCTCCGAACAAGTCCATCCAAAACTGAGACCTGAGGATAAATTGAATTAGAAACGGTTCTGTTCTTTTTCATATTAAAATGATAAAAACAAATTGTCCTTCTCCATGTCCATAACATTGAAAGCATGCTATAAATGTATGTCACACTGAATATCGCGCCCTACTTTTCCACGTGCAAACTAAAACTTTGTATAACATCTGATACCAAACAATGAAAAATTATAACTTGGACAAAAAAATTGCAAAAGCCTTATGAAAATAAATGTTTGAAACAAATTCACTTATTACCTGGCAACACGATAGCCATGTGACTATCAACTCCATAGGCACTTCCTATGAAGTTGTCATGACAACAATAAACAAATCACAAGCTTAAACCTGCCTAACTAGAAAAATTTGCTTCACTGACATCTGACTTACGTGTATGTTGCTATAATCACCAGAACCTTGTTTTTCACACAAAGAGTTTGGACGTACTTTATAAATCCGTTTAAACTCAGACTTTATGCTTACATGGACTTTACACTGTGATCAGCTTTCGCTGTACTTCACATCTGAAAAACACAGATGTACCCACCTTCCTCTCCTGAAAGAAGACCACCATGACTCGATGCGTTGATTCCCTGTGGATGATCCGTAACTGTGGCTTGATGATCCAGCATAATAATCCGTATGCGCATGCCGGAGGGTACATTGTACTGCTGCCATAGTCCCGTTCTCTGTGCCTAGGTCTGTTCGCAGTCTCATTGGTATTACGCCAAGACTCTTGACACAGTTTATGTAATGCTGGGCAATGACAGAGGGATTGTTGTTTGTTGCCCCACAAACAAGCCACATCATTCTTCTAGAAAACCCATCAATGCATCCTGAGATGGCCAAGCCGAATGGCTTCAGTTTGTCGTAGCCATCTACATGCCATATGTAATTGGGCCCCATAGAGTGGTACGTGCGTCTGGTAAACTTCCTGCGAGTCCTCAGAGCGATGCCCTGAGGATTCAGCTGCCTCAGCAGTCTCATTACAACATCACGTTTGACACGCAGGTTGTGTTTTTGTTTGAGAACCTGCCACATGGTCCGATAGCCAAATAATTGGCCTGGTCCTCTAAGCTCGGTCATAATGGCACGTCTCACGTCAGAAAGTGGAGAGTAGTTGCCTCGTCTATGCAGCCCTGCTACTTTCAAATGAGCCTTTAAAGAACGCAGGCTAACCGACACTTCGTGGTTGGTCTGGAGCATGTCCAGTATCACCTCGTATGTATATCCTGACTCAAAATATTCCCGAATAACGGTACTGAGGTTTGGATCACTGAGAACATTCATGTTTTTAGCAATCAAGTTAAAGCCAGAATAACTTCCGGTTCAAAAGAGAAACGACCTGTCGTCCAATCAGCGACTTCTTAGGTCTCCCACTGGGACCTACTCTTCCGTTGTGTTTTCGTTAATGTTGTTGTGTTTTGTTAATGTTGTTGTGTTTTTGTTAATGTTGTTGTGTTTTCGTTAATGTTGTTGTGTTTTTGTTAATGTTGTTGTGTTTTCGTTAATGTTGTGTGTTCTGTTAATGTTGTTGTGTTTTTGTTAATGTTGTTGTGTTTTCGTTAATGTTGTTGTGTTTTTGTTAATGTTGTTGTGTTTTTGTTAATGTTGTTGTGTTTTCGTTAATGTTGTTGTGTTTTGCACCTCAGGGCCACCGTAATATGTGCTACCCAGGTATACAAATCCCTTTCATACTGTAATTAAAGGATTTTAGTGTCAACATGCACTACATCTGTTTTTTTAAAAGTAGCTGTTATGATAAAGGATTATAAAAATCAAATAAAATCAAGTTTATCAGTATAGCACATTTCAGCAATAAGGCAGTTCAAAGTGCTTCATATAAAAACAAAATATAACGTCATCAAACAGACAACAATTGAAAAAGTGCATCAACATGTTCTGTGTCTTTATTTTGTATAAGTGTTGGACGTTCTGACAAGTTTTAGTGCTTCAACACTGTGGACCACGACATATTATTGAATCGACTGGAGAGTTGGGTTGGACTCTCTGGTTCGGTGCTCGACTGGTTTGAATCCTACATAAAGAACAGGGATTTCTTTGTTTCAATTGAAAACTTCTTATCAAAGAGGTCAAAGGTCACATGTGGGGTACCCCAAGTTCAATCCTAGGACCCCTCTTATTTAATATTTATATTCTCCCACTAGCTCAGGTTATAACAGGAAATGATATTAGCTACCATAACTATGCGGATGACACACAGCTCTACATTATGATGTCACCAGGTGACTCTGAACCCATCCAATCACTGAATAAATGCTTAGAGCAGATAAATGTGTGGATGTGCCAAAACTTTCTCCAGCTGAACAAAAACAAAACTGAAGTCATTATTTTTGGACCTAAAGAGAAACGATCTAAAGTCAATGCTCAGCTTCAGTTATTACAACTAAAAACTAGCGATCAGCCCGAAACCTGGGAGTAGTGATGACCTCTGACCTGAACCTTCAGAGCCACATAAAGACAGTAACAAAGTCGGCCTTCTATCACCTGAAGAACATCTCCAGGATTAGAGGACTAATGTCTCAGCCAGATCTAGAGAAACTCATTCATGTGTTTATCTTTAGTCGCATTGATTATTGCAACAGCGTCTTCACAGGCCTGTCCAACAAATCAATCCTCCAGCTGCAGCTGATCCAGAAGCTGCTGCTCCTGTTCTCACTAGAACCAGGAAGATAGAGACATAACAGCGGTTTTAAAGTCCCTCCACTGGCTCCCTGTAGCTCAAAGAATAGATTTTAAAATACTGTTGTTAGTTTATAAATCACTGAACGGTTTAGCACCACAATACATCAAAGATCTGCTGTTGTTGTATCAACCTTCCAGACTCTCAGGTTCTGGTTCTGGTTCTGCTCTGCATCCCCAGAACCAGAACCAAGAGAGGAGAAGCAGCTTTCAGCATCTATGCACCAAACATCTGGAACAAACTTCCAGAAAACTGTAAAACAGCAGAAACCCTGATTTCTTTTAAATCGCAACTAAAAACACACCTGTTTAGAGTTTGATTAGAAATGTAATATGGAACAATGTGTTGTTTATTCTATGTTGCATGACTTTGTGTTCTTGTGTTTATGATGTAAAGCACTTTGAAATGCCTTGCTGAAATGTGCTATACAAATAAAATTTGATTTGATTTTGATTTGATTCAATAAGTATCCTATAGTTGGTTAAGGTATTTAAAATGAACTGGATTTAAATAGTTATTTTCCACCTACTGACCATTCAAAAAGCTGAACACTAGAACAGCATTCACCCATTTGCACTCACACATTTATACATTTCTCTAGTGTATTGGACAGCTGCTAGCATTGACTTTTAACAACTTCATCTAGTGGAGAACAGAAATAATTACATTGTTTCAAGTTAAAGTTTGATTCCCAACACTCAAAAATGCAGTTTCCTGTTCAGGGTTTACAAAACCCTGCATGTATAGAAAATGGATGGATAGATTGATGGACTATGAGCATTTATAACAAAAGGACTGGGATAATAACTTGGTTGTGTGTCTATGTACTTCAAGCACATAAGATACTTTGTGCTTTAGTGATATTTGTGTCTTCATTCGCGTGTTCTTGTACCAGAACGCAATGAGCTGTTTCTTTCATCGTCATCTCTCAGGATATTTACTTGTTTCTTTGTATCCTGTCTCCTTTCACTGCTCCTCCAATCAGATATTTTAATTTCAGTCTCCTCTGTGGCTGGTATGTCTCTCCTGTCTCCTCTCCTGCTTCATGTAATCTGCTGTTAGTGGTGTATTGAGGCCCAGGTTGACTTTGGTTGGAGTTGGATTCCTTCCATGATCTCCTTCTGTTGGGCTCTTTATCCACACTTTCTCTGTCGTCCTGAACTTTCTAGACTTGTCTATCTAGTTGACTGACACTGAGCAGCTTCTACTCTTTGAATACTTATTAAACAAGCAAGAGGTGTATGATGTTGCATATTTTGGTATTGATCTGATGCCAAGTAAAGACAGGGCCAGTATCGCCAATTCAGAGTCTTTCTAAAGGTAGGAATTTATTGCTACCTTTACAATAAAAAGGTAGCAATAAATTCCTGCATGTCTATTATGCAGGTTCCTTACAATATGAAAGGAATGCAGATTCCTTTCATATTGTAATTAAAGGATTTTAGTGCATTCGCATGTGCTACGTCTGTTTTTTTTAAAAAGGTAGTTTATGAAGACTGTTTTTCATGTATAAGTCTGATATGTCCTGAAACTTCTGACCTTTTGGTGGTTTTTCCTGTGAATTTGAAACCTAGAACATAATTTAGACCAGGGGTGTCAACATCCTGGTCTCAATTACAGCGGCTCATCTAAAGGTGGCCGCTGTCCTGCCACCTTTAGATGAGCCTCTGCTGCAACACCTGACTACAATAATTAGGTCATTAAGGCTCTGCAGAACAAGGAGGTAATGAAGCCATTTCATTCCTGTGTTTTGTACCTGGGATTTTTAGACATTTTTAGAGCAATGTCTAAAAATCCCTCTGAATGGTACTAATTCACAACAAATGTGTTCTCAAGGCCTTGATCATTTAAATTCTATCACACACACATTCCAATTGATCCTGGTTATCAATCAGTGTAGCAAACTCGATCAGTTATTCTATCGGCGGAAACTCAGCAGATTACAGTCATTGACTTACAGCATTCAAAGTTAAAGCATTGATCTTACCACGCTAGTACCGACCCAACTTGATATCAATATTATCGATATTTTGAATTGATCCTCTCACATGTGAAATAATTTGCTGTTCCTCTGAAGAAGACTGCTTTCTTCTTCAGAATGGCTGTTAGTAAAATTAGTCCAATATTAATGTTAGCAGGGAACTGCAGCTTCTCACTAACATGGACTTTATTACCTGTTGTTTCAAAATGCGGCAGTCAAACACCTGGAGAATTTATTTCAATTTCTCACAGGAACACTTCAGTCAGCTGCAGCACTGACATAAAGTTTCTAAATTAGTGCAGGATTAAAAAAACAAGAATATAATTTTCCCTAAGATGCATCAGAGAAAACAGGAGACAAACATGCTTGTTTTCGAATCTGTTTAATCAATTATGAGGTTAAAAATGCTTTATTGCCTTTTTGAAATAATCATCTTCACAGTTTATTCATGCAGTCTGGATACATTTATAGCTATGCGTCTTAGATTCCTTTGGAACATTCTGATTATTTGAAAGAGTTTCACAATGTTTTTATTTTTCTGTTGTCATACTGTTGTGAACACTTAAACATGTTTTCTACCTAAAACAGTTTAATGAACCACTCTCCACCTGTGTGGGTGGAAATGAAACTGCATATAAACACAATTGTTCCTACAATAACCTCCACCATTAATTATAGTTGTTTCATCACATCTTTCATAAACCAGACCATTCATGTTTTCTGTATTCCTGTAATTGAGACCCTTTCTGATGTTTCATAAGGAATTATGTAGCAAATGAGCAAGATTTTCCCTCCTCCACTCTTTGTTTGATGATAAATTTATTTTGTATTACATGAAAAAAGTAACATCAAAGATTTAATCAGTGAAGTCAGAATAATGACTTTATTGTTGCGTCTCCAGCTGATTCTCTGCAACATGCTGGTATTGCAAAGCTGCTCTGCTTCCTTCATCCATGTTTCTTTTAATTCGTTCTAGTTTCTGGACTTTCCTGTCTCCTTTCTCTTTCATCTTCTCAATCAGAAAGTCCAGCTGGACTAAAGTAGATGCTGAATCAACTTTCAGAGCAATCTTCTCTAGTTTGACCACATGCTTGTAGGACTCATCCAGCAGCTCATCTTTCTTTGCAGTCAGATGTTTAATTTTTGTCTCCAGACCTTCTAAGTAACTCAAGTTTTTCTCTCTTTCAGTTTTACTGTTTTCATACTTTTGCTTGATTTCTTTCAGAGCACCTTAAACATTTCTTGTCTTGGTCACATATCTCCAATTTCTTTCACATGATCAGATGTGGGACACTTCCCACTACAAACGATGCAGTGGCCATCTTTGATGACATCACAGAAGGCAGGACTTGGGGCCAGTTTGCATCCAGGATAGTGACAGTTCTCCTCACAGCGAGTACAGCACATTGCTCCTTCAAAAGAACCACCTTTAAACCAGTTTCTGGCATTTATAGGTTCTTTGACTTTGTAGGACTCCTCTATTTCTATAGTAAAATTTTCATTCTCTTTCATCTCTTTCTTATATTTCATCAGGTCACGTTGAATCTGTCTGATTTGCTCCTGTTTGTGTTCAGTTTCAATTATTCTTTGCTGCAGATTTTGAATGCAGGCTGTCAGTTCGCTGCGTTCCTTTATAACAACAGCAGTTGCCTTCACATTTTGAGGTCGCGCCTTTTCCAGAAAGGCAGTGAACTCTGTCAGTCCTTTCTCTGTTATCTTGTTGGCCCCTTCCAGGTATTCTGCGACTTCGTCCCGGTCTTCGCTCTGACAGTTATTAAACAAGAAGTAGACAGGCTGCTTCTTCTCATCTTTGGCACACTTAATGGTTGAAACTTCAAGAGCTTGAATGACGTTCATTGGTGTTCTTCCATTTGAGTGAGTGATGAGCGCTACGATGTTGTCTTCTATGTTTTTTCCAAAAAGCGACATGATGGAATTCAAGATATACATCAGTCGGTCACTGAGACGATTATCGCTTGCTTTCATTACCAGACCCACTCCATGAATTGCATGAACACCATCCACTGATTGAAACAAGTCAAATAACCGCTGACTGATGTTAACATCATGTTCTATCCCTCTGGTGCTTCCAAATCCTGGAGTATCGATAATGCTCAAAGAGTAGGGCATGGCTTTACCTTCAAAACCAAATATTTCATAGACAGTCACTTCAGATGTTTCATGGTCCACCTCCTCCACGATTTGAAGCCAAACCTCATCCTGAAACTTCACTCCCATGGTGAAATTGACCAGCGCATTGATGAAAGTGGATTTTCCTGCTCCTGTTTCACCAACCAATAGGATTGTTTTATGTCTCTTGCATCCATCTTTTTCACCAACTGTCAGTTTTGTCAGCTTTGCAGATATTTCCTTTTTTGGCCTCAGCTGGTAAACGGATGGATTTCCTGGTCGAATCAGAGTACTTTTGGAGATCATGGTGTCCAGTAGGGAATTCCTAGGAGAGGAACAAATTTACTCAAACCATTTTGACAACTTACATACTGATTTCATCCTTGTTAAAAGTAGCAATATTGAATATTTATCACGCTTATACTTAAGCCTTAGAAACATTTAAGACTCACTGACTTCAGTATATGGGCATCTTAAATCTAGGAAGTACGATAATTTACAATAGCAGCTTGGATGGAATCAAAAACCACTGAAGGAATATTAATCTAAAATATAATCAGCAATACCTTCAGAGTGATTGCAGGTTTTTTCCACTTGTCCTTTGCATCATGTCCTTTATAAACTAAATGTGTTTTTATTGATAAACTGTATAAATAGGTTATGTAGGGTTCTATTTTTATGTTTGAGTGAATTTAGGTATTTTCATGTAAATTAATTTAGTTCTGAAATATTTTTGCTATCTTAGTGATGCCCTTCTTAGGGCAAATAGTACCTAAGCAGTTGAATTTTCTGATTGGTTACAGTGGAAAAGGTTGATAGTTTTGTCATAGCCAAGCTGTCAGGTATAAAACCATCCTATTCAGACACAGAGCGCCACCGGTGGTGAGTCAGTAGTTGGAATAGTGAGTGTGATTGTAGCAATCATTGATTGATGCCATTTTTCAGCTTTGCAAATATGTGATTCATTTGCCATGTGGTGGATACACAGCTCGAATAATAAGGTTACAGGTGTTAGTAGTGCTAACAAACACTGCTAACAGTGTTTGTCGTGGATGTTTTAAAGATTAGCTTCAGGGAAGATTCCTCCTTACGTACCTCGCTGCTGCACTGCTGATGTCTAGAGAGGGAGGTTCTGCTCTCAGTTTAGTTCGAGGCAGAGGAGCAGGTGTACGAGCCGGTGAGGTAGAAGATGACGGTGGGCACTTTGAGTCACTCACCTTGCTTGGAGGTTTACTGGAACATAAAACATAAGCATGAAAACCATCTCCTATGTTTAGGTCAGTTTATTATTACGCTTTATGTCAGATACACCAGTAGATATTTGTATTTGTTCAAACAAAAAATAAATAGAATTTAAATGCAGCAGAATAATAATGGATATTATTAAGATTTGCACAAAGGCAAATCTGAGATGGTAATGTCTCACATACTAGGTGTCCAATATCAAAATGAGTATATAAGAAGGAAAAGATGTAGCAAATCAAACTTGTTCCTGCTCTGATGAAGGGTTGAAGGGACTAAAGGCAAGACTCCAGATTCCTGTTGTTACCAGCAGACTATCTTTAAAGACTCATAGTCCAAAACACACTGGTAGAGTATGAAGTTGCAGAGAATATTTCCAGTCTAATTTAGAAAGTTTCTGTCAACTTTAATATTACATTTTCACAATGAGTCTGAATTTAAACAGATATAAGTGTCTGTACAGATTCCATCACTGGTTTGAGTCAGATCTAAAAACACACGGACCACACTGTTTTTATCAAACATTTCATTCACAGAAGACTGATAATTTTATGCATTAACTGCAGTGTCTCAGGATATATACAGTCAACCACAACCTCATTTACAAATATGTCACAAAGGAAATAAAAAAAGTGTTAATGGTCCAAAATATTGAGCTAAACTTAGACAGCATTTCTGGTCTATTTTACAGCTAAAACTGATGTATTATACTAGTCAACACTGCACACAGTCAACTTGTACTTTTAAGGCAAATTGTTTTGGAGAACATCTGAATTTCAACTGAACTAATTCTGTTTAGTTCAAGAAAATACTTAAGAAGGTAAAACAAAAACAATTTTCAATATTTTTGATCTATGCTTTGAATTATATGAACATTTTAATGCATCAAAATGGTGTCAAAACATTTAAAATTAAGTGTTTTTCCTATAGATTGTTCTACAGTCAGAACAATACCAACACTAACCTACCCATTGTTAAATATAATACACGGGTTACCAAGAGTAGTGTAATTACTGTTGAACATAGCTGCACATACCATCTTTCTGAATACATTTACATTTATACAAACTTTTATTGGAATAGTGGAAAAGATTGCAAAAACTAACAGGTCCCAACATAATGCTAATTTATCAAGTTTGCAATTTTATCATTATGATACATCCTCATTTTTGTCATAACATATTGGTTTGCTCCTTGTTACTCTCGCTTCTCATCACAAGAAACAAGAAATGCAGTCTGGTTAATTGTTGTGGTTTCTCTGATATTTTGCATCATATTTTCAAGTTACCACAAAGATTAAATAATAGTTGAACAAATGATAACGCAATTTATTATCTTAAATAATTAAATCACTTTGCCCTTATCAAAATACTTTGTTAAATTCCTTTATTAAAAACCTGATCACAGTTTCATGAAGTACAGCCTTCAGAGGTCATGCACCTCATGACACTTTCTTGTTAAACAGGTTTGTTCTTCACTTCTTTACACGCTTGTTACTCTGCCCCACAAATACTGCAGTGCTAATTTGGTTCCTTCATCCATTTGGGTCCTCATCTCATCCAGTTTCTGAACTTTCTTCATGTCTCCTTTCTCCTTCATCTTTGCAATCAAGAAATCCAAGTGAACCAAAGTGGTCACAGCATTAACTTTGAGGGCAATCTCCTCCAGTTTCATAACATGTTGGTACGCTTCATCGATGAGCTGGAACTTCTCTGATCTCAGTTTCTGTATTTCATTTACAAGACCTTTGACAATATTAAAGTTCTTCTCAACATCACCCTTCTCTGTCTTTATCTCTTTCTTAACTCCTACAGTCTTCTTAACCTTCTTGGTCTTGATGACATATCTCCAGTTTTCCTTCACATGAGCCGATGCAGGACATTTACCAGTACAGACAGTGCAATGCCCTCTTCTAATGACCTCACAGTGTTGGGGACTGCGAACAAGTGTACAGCCAGGATAGTGGCAGTTCTCCTTACAGATGGTGCAGACCATTGCTTTCTCAAAAATATTTTGCCTGAAAAGTCTTAGACTTTTCAGAGGCTCCTTTTCTTTGAAAACAACATCAACTTCAACAGTGAATGTCTCTGATTTATTCATGTCTTCTACTTGCTTGATGAGAGCTTCATGAGTTTGTTTGAGTTCCTCTTGTTTCCTCTCTATTAGCAGGATTCTCTCCTGCAGGTTTTGGATACAGGCTGTCAGGCTGATGCGTTCATTCAGGACATCTGTAGTCGCCATCAGTTTTTGGGCTGTTTTCTTCTCCAAGAAGGCCGTAAAGGTTCTCAGTCCTCTCTCTGAAATTTCAGTAGCAATTTTTATAAATTCAGTTTCCTTTGATCGGTCATCACTTTGGGAGTTGTCAAAAAGAAAATAAATAGGTTGATTCTTCTCATTTTTGGCACATCTTATTTTTGTAGCTTCAAGAGCTTGAAGAACATTTTTAGGTTGTCTTCCATCTGAGTGAGTTATGAGAGCCACAATGCTTTTCTCCAGGTTTTTCCCAAACAGAGACATGACTGAATTGAAGACGTATGAAAGGCGATCATTCACTCGATTATCTGTGGCCTTCACCACCAGACCCACAGCGTGAATCTCCTGAATTCCCTCATCTGATCTAAACAACTCAAACAATCTTTGGCTGACAATAAGATCTTTTTCAATCCCTCTGGTGTCTCCAAATCCAGGCGTATCAATGATGGTCAAAGAGAACGGCAGAGTTTGATCTTCAAACCCAAAGATCTCGTAAACAATCACATCTGATGTCTGACTTTCAGTCTGCCCTCTCTTCTCATCTTCTACAATCTTAAACCAGACCTCATCCTCAAACTTCACTCCCATGGTGTGGTTGACCAGAGCATTGATGACAGTAGACTTTCCTGCTCCTGTTTCACCAACCAGCAGCACCGTTCTGTTGGCCTTGTTCAAGTTTTTCTGTCCGAGAGTTATCCTAGTCAGAGGCCCAAAGTCCTCTTTCTTTGTGCTGAGTTGGAAAACGGATGGGGATCCTGACTGGATCTGGAGACTTTTTGAGATGATGTCCTTGAATTTAGATGATGTATTCCTGTTGAAAAAATTTATAATTTACTAGCTTAAATTCCTAAATGCCTTTTTAAATTAATATATAAGAGCCAAATCAAAATATGCAATTTGGGTAATATATTGTCATTGTATGATGATGTACAATGCTAAAGTATTAACATAGTTAGTATTAATAATGAATGGTACATATCATGCTTATTTTTTAAATATGTGTCACATCCAGGTAGCCATTGCTTGGACTGATTGGGTTCGGAAGAGCTGTTGATTATGAAGAGAAGAGTTTCCATTCTCATGTTCTGAGTACCCAGACCGGAATAAAAATGGAAACAATTATTCTGAAAAGTAAATAATGTTCATATTAATGAACATTAATATGATGTTTCCTCCAGGTTTTTCACTGGTACTTCCATTCAGTGCTTTTATCTGTTTCATCCTGAAAGAAACATACTGGAAAAGTCTCTGGATGAGAATCTGTGACCTTGTAACATACAGACATTTGTCCTTTTTAAAACTATATCTTCAGTTAAGTTATAACGTTTCTCTTCATCTTAAAAAACTCTTTACTCTCCTTTTACTATGCATAAATGATAAAGTGATTGGAAACATGTTAAATATGTTTTTTTAATCAATAGTTAAGTACAGATTTACATAAACTGTAACTATAAATGTTTGACTTACATTCTTTGCATGATGATGAAGCCTTGAAGATCACTCCTGTGAGGTTGAAACAGGTTCTTATGACTAATCAAACACAACAGTAAAGTTACTGCTGTTATCTGTTTTAATCTTGTTTTTATGTCGGTGTGTTAAAGTCATTCATCAGACACACTTTGTTGTGTGCACAGAAGTGACCTGACAGAGGAAGCACAACTGGAATTAGCAGATCTGTGTTTTAAAACATCAAATCAGCTGTAAAACCCAACGTTCATATTCATCAAATGATTCAACAGTTTAAGCGGTCCAGTTTGATGTTTCAGTTTTTATTCTAATCTCCAAAATTCAGGTTCTAACATTAGAAAGTTTCCTACCTGTGCAGACAACCACCTGCTGCTCTTTACGATGCTCAGTGAAAGCAAGAAGAGTGAAGAGAGTCAGCATTCAGGGATTTATATTCTCCCACAGAGGAGGAAACTGGTCACATGACTTCACTGAAGTGTTTTTTGTTCAGCTGAAAGCTTTCTTTACCTGCTTGATAAAGTCACACCTAAACAGTGTAGCTGCTAATGAAACGGACTCCAGGGTTTCAATATTTCAGTTTTGTTTTCATAAAACTTATAACACTATCAAACTTAACTTTACATTGTTTAGGTGTCTGGTAATCAGTTCCAGTTTCTTTGTACTAGGAAACATTTAACTGTTCAGTGTTTTATAGCATTTCTCAAGACAAGCATGAAAAAGACAAACTCAAGTGTTAAACTATTGTGTCTCTTAAATTAAAACTCTTGACAATCTGAAGGAAGTGATGTTGTCCTAATGATAAGTATTACATGTCCTGCCTGATTTGAACTGTAACTGTCTGTCTTTTGGAGCAACCAACAACAAATTGGTTTTATGTAAAATACCTTCATAGGACTGGACTTCTAAATCCTGAATTAAAACATATTTAATTGTTGTCATTGCTGGCACATCAGGCTCTCCTTCTATCCAAACTAACTGAGGAATGCTGAACGTAAGAAGGTAAAATGACACATTTTATCTTTATTGGCTTTACACCAGGCATTTCCACTCCTTGATGAAAAAACAAAAAGAAATTGTTTTTCCTTTAACTGTGTGCAGAGTAATGAGTTTCTCCTTTGTCAGTTTAATTACCAGTTAACATAAGTATGTTGAACGTTTCATTAGCAGAAGCTTAACTGCGTCTGGTCAAAGTTTGTGGTACAAGTCTGGAAAACTGAGCAAAGATTTATTTTTGTACCACATTGTTTTTATCTCAAGTAAAAATACTCAGGTTTGTTTTCAGTAGACTTTTTTAAACCTGTATTGGGAAAAAAATCACTGCAGAAAACTGAAACTAAATGTTTTCATAGCAGCTTTATAGATTTGACCCTCATTGCTTTGCAAGGTCAGAAGACGGTTTCATTCACAGCCACTGATCTGAATCAGCCGATCTGATGCTGTCGCCCGTGTTCAGATAAAGCTTCTTAACATGCATCATATCTAAAGTTTCGTTTTTGGGCATTCAAACGATTGTTGATATGTACTGAATAACAAATGTTATCCTAAGAAAGATCTTTTAGGCTTGAGACCTCATGGTTCATCGTGATATATTTTATTTGTGACTAATTTACTATTAGAAGTTTTTTTTTTCTGAATCAGATTATAAATCTATTTATCGAAGTTTTAAGGACATTGAAAACACTAAGCTCACTAGAAGTTACACTTTTAATGTCATGTTCAGTAATTTCTGTATATATTTAGGTACTGAGAATACATTTTTTAAATTATCCTATTAGGAATAATGCCAAATATTAAAATATGTTTATAATAAGACAACATCTGACAAGCTCGATTATTTGGAAGGATGTTTCCTGACAATAAAATAACTTATAAAAGGTTTTTTCCAGTGAAAATGTGTTTGACATATATAATTTTGTTTTATTTAAACTTAGGTAACTGGAGAAGATTTACATTTATTTATTTGCTTTCATATGACCTGTCGCAGCCTAACATGCGAAGGGAGAAGCTGGTTGTCTAAATGTCGAAGGGCTACTTTGCGCTACAAAACGGATACCTATACATAGTAGATGCTTTCTTGATTGGCTCTTTATCTCAGGGTTTCAGCTCACATCTTAGTGGACAGGTGGCAAAAGTTTTCTCACCTCGACAGAACAAAAAGAAAAAATGTTTTAATGATACTAAAATGTTTGCGCCCTTGGATTTATAGTGTATTGTACATTTAGTGTCTGTCACCAACGTTTGACTTGATTCCAAGTTTCTGACATGCAGCTCAGTAGATTTTAAAGCAGCAGGGCGGTTGTTCTGCACAGGTAGGGAAACTTTCTAATGTTAAAACCTGAAGATTTTAAAGCAATGTCCCCCAGAGGCAGATTAATATAGTAAAGTTTCAGTTCTTTACTTGCCTTGAAGGATCTTCAAAGCAGCTGTAGACACTTATTTCAATAACCTTTGCAAAAGGAGTTTGTCTGCTCCTGATCCACAGAGGTTTGTCATTGTAGTGTTTCAGCTTTACTGAGCTTCAGTAGAAAGAAGCAACATTTTTCTGCTGTAATCGGCTTTGAGACGGTTTGTTGTAAAGCCGGATGACATTCAGTTGTTTCATTCAGAACCACTGCACCGAAACACCCTGCTATGGTTGGTGTCAACTGTTTTCTGATGAAACATTTTAAAAGGCCCAGCATAGTGCACAAGACATGTCGCTTCTCCAAACATCAAAACTAATTTATTTATGATAACGTGCTAAACAAGGATGAGTAATTCACCACTTAAGGTCTGTTTTGTTTTTCTGATTTAAAATAGCTTGTACTCCATTATTATCCACATGTTATTGCCTTTAAGTTATTTATGGGAATTGGAGAAAATCTGATGTGTCACAAAATGTCAAACATGTAATATGTTTTTGTTTGTTTATTTTGAGAAATAATAAAAAAATATTTTCCAGTAAAAATGCAATGCATCTGCTTTCCTTGGAGCAAAACATTTGGTCATGTTTTTTCATAAATTGAAATGTGAATAATACTAAGTAGTCAGCTATTTTCTGTGACGGGTCCAGTGGGCTTGATGGTGACGTCTTCCTGATGTTGTGGCTGCTATTCTGGGCTTAACGGGGCAGAAAGGGATTCAAGGCACCAGATAACTGTTTAATTCCCTTTTATAGTTGCTTATTGCAAAATGCTTGAGATGTTTTACGTTAGAACAACCAATTACCTGCTATTGATGATTTTATGTCATCAAATTTTTGTATTCAGTCCTGATAAGTATTTGAAAGAAATCTTACAGATATGAAACAAGTGACATATCTGTCACCTTTGCACCGCCGGTGGTTTGGTCATGGCGGTCACACAGGCTTCATGTGGAGATTTGTCTTGTTTTTGTCTGACAGCGACACAATGCTATCACCTAAACAGAATGCTATCTTCACATTCCTTTCATACAAACCCTGACAATGTTGGCTCAGATGTATTTAGATGGAACATTTTAAAATGCACAGCATGACACGTAGCACAAAAACAGTCAGTATGTGACCTTGTAATAGGACATTAGAAGGCCACAAAACACACATTAAGTCCTCATATGCATAAATATTCACACACACACACAGATATATGTGCAGGTCAATATGTATCAGATCTGATTCTAACTTCATAATTTAACATGGAAAAGAAAGAAAATTATTTCAAACACTGCACTTCATAATTCCAGTTCAACTTGGTTCAATAAAGAAGTTGACAGTCGTTGCACACAACAACAAATAAATCAATCAAACTTACAAATTTGATCAATGTAGCTACAAACCAAAATATCTTTGGTACCAGACTTCATTGCTGCATCAGCATGGAATACAACTAACAACCAACAATTATCAAATCTAGGATTAGGGGAGTTGCCATTAAATGATAAAGGTATTGCCTTTGATTCAGCTTATTTAGTTTGGTTTTACATTCAGTAATTAAATACGTGGATTGAACTGACCTGAGCAACTGATAATCGAGTTAATAGCTAATGCTAACTGGCGGAGCGTAGCCAGAAATAACGCTCTACTTTTGGTTTAAATATGACATCGACTCACCGTCGAGTAGTGAATTGTTTGAGGAGGTTGATGCAACGTTAACCGTTCGAAAGTAGCAGCAGGAAACTATACCAGCTATTGTTGCAGGTACAACATTGAATCAGATCGTAGTCAGTAACATAACTCACCACCAATCGTCAAGTTTCACATATTAGTCGATTCAGATTTGGAGACGTCAGATTGTTCTACATGCCAACAACCACAGTGAGCAGCAGCATGTGGGAAAACCCAGAAACAGGAAGGTGGTTTGGTCGTGGCGGTCACACCGGTTTCATGTGGAGATTTGTCATTTCCAAATGGAGCCATAAAGTTTGTGTAGCTGATCTATTTTAGGGCTTGTTTTAGTACAACACTTAATAATGACTGACAAGAAACAATGAATGTCAAGAACCACCTTGGACAGGTTGTCAGACTCCAGTCCTCAAGGGCCGGTGTCCTGCAACTTTTAGATGAGCCTCTGCTGCACCACCTGAATAGAATAATTTGGTCATTAAGCCTCTGGAGATCTGATCTACACCAGGAATTACACTGGTAATCCCAGTGTTTTGTACCTGTGGCTCATCTAAAAACTGCAGGACACCTGGAGGACTGAAGTTTGACACCTGTGAACTTGTACATACTAATAGACATGTTTATAATATAGGCCTGAAGTCTTTCTTCCAAAGACTTCAGGAAAGTTGTTAGATTGCACAGAACATGCCTTTTACACTATGAAGAAACTGGATAAAAATTGATGCCATTGCCCAAAAAATGCAAGTAGTCACTAGCAAAATGAACCATGAGGTTAAGCAGATGTATGAAAAACCAGGGAATCAAATCTGACTCGCAAATATGTTGCTGATCAGGAAATGTTATCTTGTACTAAACAATAGTATCTCTTATGTATGTATTTTTCCACGCCAGCAGACGTCTTTGAAACACCCTGCCTGTTGGAACACCCTCATGGCGGCTGTTGGGAGTGTCCAGATAAGGTTTTCAGAAATGCATTTCATTTTACAAAATGAATCTTAAAAACTGTTTAAGTTGTATGAGCAGACTGAGTGAGTGTGGAAAATACAAAGGGAACGTTTCCATTGGTTAACTGACTAAAAAATGACTTAAACTCTGTATGTCAGCTGTTCAGACATCATTATCTTTCTATTAATATAATATATATTCTATTCATGAACACATTGGCATAAAAGCTTTTCATGGAGATTAAAATAGGCATGAAGTGGGGAACAATCAAAGTTTTAACTGCAGAACATTGTTGTGTTTTGATCCTGTGCAGGAGTGTGACGTTTGTGAAGTTAAATACGGCTCTCGCTTTATGCCGCATTGCATATGTATTTAATAAGTAAAAGTGCTGACCCTTGTAGGCGTTTACCTCTCAATCAGTGGGTTGCTGGTTTGATTCCTGCTGCCTGCCTCTATCAATTCAATTCTAATTACAACTGTTTTTGCTAGTTCAATAGCATAATGAAGTAGTCATGTCACCTTCAGCTGTAAAAATGCCATATGTATCAAATGAGATTTAAAAGAAAATTGACTTTATGTGAATGGCTTGAAAATGGGCTGCTGTCTCTTTAAGAACCTCCTATTGCCTCCAAGGCATAGCTCTGTCCACGCAGGCATTTTGCACAGCTGAGATTGATTTATGGAGATTGATTTCTCAAACTTACATGAAAAGATCAAGACAACACTCTGAGTGTGTTTTTCATGAGAATAACATTGAAACATGATGTGCTGATCAATTTTACATAATACTGCCCCTTTAAAATGAAGGCAAATTAATGAGATTTTATCTCGATTTTGTTTCAAGGCAAAACTTAAAACACAAGTGACAAGAACAAAGCTTTTTCAGGCATTTATTAATCAGATGTGTTCATATTTCACAGAATTGACATCAAATGATTACAAATAGAAGAAATATAGTAAAATATGAACATAATGTCAAACAATGATCTAATAATTTCTTACAATTCCAATGCATCTCTAAGGATAATAGTTTATTAGGAAATTGAAGTATAAAATGTAAGTAAAATCACTATGCATTATTAGTAATAAAGCAGTTGAAAATCAAGGAGAGTGAAACAGTTCATGTAGTCAAAACCATAATCATGATGCTGCTGCTGAGGCAATACAATCATATTATGAACATTTAAATCATATGTAATATAATCACCAAACTCAGCCAGAAAAATACCAACTGTGCTCCTCCAGCTGCCATTTGAAATGTCATCTAAACTATGATAAATTATAATGAAGTATGAAAAGCAGCTCAGTCATTAATCACAATGCTGAAGCTGACGGTTGTAATGAACATGCTAAGGAAGCTACAGTGCCAGTGCACGGACAAGAGGGATATTTTTAGTATTGGGATTTTCATAAAGGATTTTTATTTAATGTCTTATTGTGTGAAAACTAAATCAATAGAAACAAAAATGATGTTTTTTTTACCAGTTACCTTTATCTTGTGATCGTAAATCTTTGGTTTATGAACAGGAGAATATTGAGTTCAATGAAAGGAAATTGGAAAAGTATCAATCTGAGACCCGACCTTGCTGCGCTTTGGCTGGTTCCTCACGTCAACAGTGGTTTGTTTCTTCTGATAGCATTAGCATTTTTTTTTTCTAGTAGTGCTGGACTGATTTTAACATTAGGAATGTGTAGAACTGTTTGACATGTGCTGTTTTAAAGTATTTAACAGCTTACATAAGAAAACCTTATCCAGAACATTTATCCAAGCAACAAGTACATTAATTTAAAGATGCACTGAAAAGATCCCTTTCAGCTGATTCCAGATTTGCTACTTGAAAGTCTGTTGAATTTTTTGGGTAGCTGCTTTCATTTTATCCCATACAGACAGGATGATTGCTCTGGTTCCTTCATCCATTTTGTTTTTTATCTCCTCCAGTTTCTGAATTTTTTTTGCTTCTCCTCTTTCATTCAGCTTTTCGATCAAAAAGTCATATGGGACAAATGTGGACACTGAATTAACGTTCAAAGCAATCTTCCCCAAATTGTCAATATGTTGGAGAGCTTCTTCCAGCAGCTGTGACTTTTCTGCCTTCAGCTTTTCCAAGTCTTCCTCAAGATTACCCAAAAAATTCCAACAATTTTCTCGTTTCGATTTTCTTTTAATCTCATTCAGGCTTCTCCGAACCCTTTTCGTCTTGTTAACATATCTCCACTTCCCTTTCACATGAGCAGATGCAGGACACTTTAAAGTGCACACAGTGCACCGGCCATCTTTCATCACCTCACAGTCCTCAGGCTTTCTAGAGCTTGAACATCCAGGATAGTGACAGTTCTCCTCACAGATTGTACAGCATACGGCCCCTTTTACTAAAATCATCAGCCAAATGTCTCCTTCAATGGCTTCTTTGCCTTTGTAGGCTTCATCAAATTCTACAGTGACCGTCTCATTAGTTTTGCTATTTTTCTGTATCTCCATAGCTTCTTTAATCTGTTTAGTTTCTGCCTCTTTCAGCTCAGACAGTCGGATCCTTTCCTGCAGGTTTTGGATGCAGGCGGACAGTCTGATCCGTTCATTGAGAACATCTAAAGTCACATCTAGTTTTCGGGGTGCAGTTTTCTCCAGAAAGGCAGCAAAGCCACTCAGACCTTTCACTGCTATCTTGTCAGCATTTTTATAATGCTTTTCTTCTATCTGCTCTTCATGTCGGCAGTTATTGAAGAGGAAGTGAACAGGTTGTTCCTCCTCATCTTTGGCACATTTAATCTTGGCAGTATTGAGAGCTTGAAGCAAGACCCTTGGTTTTCTTCCATTGGAGTGAGTGACCAAAGCTACAATGTTTTTCTCTATGTCTTTCCCAAACAGAGACATCACTGACTCAAAGATGTACTTAAGTCGGTCACTCAGTCGATTCACGCTCGACTTTACTACCAGACCCACTGCATGAAGTTCTTTTATGCCATTTTTTGATTGAAACAATTGAAATAATCTTTCACTGACAACAACATCATATTCAATCCCTCTGGTGTCTCCAAATCCAGGAGTATCAATGATGGTCAGAGAGAAGGGCAGAGTTTTACCTTCAAAACCAAAGAGTTCGTACACAATCACATCTGATGTCTGGCTTTCTGTCTGACTCCTTTTCTCATCTTCTACGATCTGGTACCAGGCTTTATCTTCCAATGTCACTCCCATGGCGTAGTTGACCAGAGCGTTGATCAGAGTCGATTTCCCTGCCCCTGTTTCACCAACAAGCAGGATGGTTTTATTTGGTTTGTTGTGGTTTTTTGTGCCTACAGTCAGTCTGGTCAAGGTTCCAATGACTTTTTTCTTTGTTTTGAGCTGGTAGACTTTAGTGGATCCAGAACGAATCGGCTCATTGTTGGCCAAGATTTCTTGTGGATCGTTGTTGCTGCAGAGAAAGCACATTTATTTTAAATGTATAAAGATAAGTTGGTTCTATTCAAAATATACATTGTACAAAACATTGTCTCAGGTTTTCAGTATGTAAGTGTTAAAAATTCAGAATATAAGGCAATAAATAATTTACAGGACTGTATAAAGGACTTATTGTTAAATGAAGAGATAATAATTGATCTTACTTGCAGTTGAGCAAGGCTTTGACCCTTCCATCCATCTGCTGGTCCATCTGCTGCAGTTTCTGTTGCTTCTCTGAGTCTCCTTGTTCTTCCATCTTCTCAATCAGGAAGTCCAAACTTATGTAGGTGGAAAGGGAGCAAACTTTAAGAACTGTCTGATCCAAGTTTGCAACTTTTTTGAAGGAGTTTTCTATCAGTTGTGTCTTCTCTGACTTTAGACTTTCAATCTCCTTTTCCAGAATCTCAAGAAGCTTTATCTTATGGTTTGATGCTTTCTTATACATCTTTTTATATTCCTCTTTGGTTCTCTGCACTTTTTTTGTCTTGGCCACGTACCTCCAGTCGGCTTTAATATGTGTTGAAACGGGACATTTACCAGTGCAAACAGTGCAGCGACTGTTGTTCATGACCTCACACTCTTCATGGTTCAGGGCCATCGTACATCCTGGATAGTGGCAGTTCTCCTTACAGACGGTGCAGCAGACAGCCGATTTTAAGAAGGACATCTCACCACCAATAGGTTCTTGTTCTATGCAGACTTCATCTACTTCGATGACGTTCTCAATTTTCTTCTCTTCTTTTTGTTTCTTCAGAGCGTCTTGAAGCTGCCTAATTTCTTTCTGCTTCAGTTCATTTAGCCTGATTTTCTCCTCTAGATTTTGGATAGTGGCTGCAAGTCTTATTTGTGAGTTAAACCCAAACATCACCTGTAGCTGCTGAGGTGAAGCCTTTTTAAGAAAAGACATGAACTGACTCATCCCTGCCTCTGTCACTCTCCATGCTTTTTCCAGATCTAAGCTAGTTTCCTCTGTTCGAGCCTCATTCTGACAGTTATTGAATGTAAAGTGAACAGGCTGGCTGTTCGCGTCTGTTACACATGGAGTCCCTGCACCTTTAAGGGCTTGAAGAGCAGCCGTAGGTATCGTCCCATCTGAGTGTGTGATCAGAGCCACAGTGATGTTTTCAAGGCCTTTCCCAAAAAGAGGGATCATTGACTCCAGTATGTATCTCAGAGAATCACTGAACTGATGCTCAGTAGCCTTCATCACCATTGCCACTGCATGGATCTCATGAACTCCATCTTCTGATCGAAATAAGTCAAACAGTCTCTGGCTTACAGTCACATCACAGTTCATCCCTCTGTGGCTCCCACATCCAGGAGTATCAATGATGGTCAGAGAGTAGGGCAGAGGTTTATCTTTAAAATCAAAGACGTCATACACAGTCACATCTGATGTTTGGTCATTCTCCTCTTCCTCCACAACCTGAAACCAGACTTCATCCTCAAACCTCACTCCCATGGCGTAATTAACCAGAGCATTGATCAGAGCAGATTTTCCTGTCCCCTTTTCTCCAACAAGCAAGATGGTTTTATTTATCTTCCTCACATCTTTTTCACCTATAGTGACTCTGGTCAGCGTCCCAAATGTCTGTTTCTTAGTTTTCAGTCGGCGGATTGTCGGGCATCCGACACTGATCAGGCCACTGTGGAAAGCAAGCAGTTTAACCAATCATTATTTGATCATTATATGTTTGTCGATGACTATCCAAGGAATCCTGTGTCCAGCAGGAGTTTGTTCCCTGAATGTATCTGTTTTGACTTGTAACCCTCTGTTGTTGATGACGTAGTTTTCCTCTGAGAGAAAACTTTATTTTCCAAGAAACCCATCAGATAGTGACTCATGGATGACAGACGCAATGCGAATTTAAATATAAGTTAAGTGCACAGTTAATTATTACAAAGCAGCTGAAAAAAATCAAGAGGAATAAGATTTCATTCTATGAAAAACGTCAGCTGCTATGGGGTGTCATTTTCAAAGTTACAGTCAAAAATTAATAACAGTTAGGGTTATTTAACCAGTCATTCTTTCACCATGTTATTTATAAAGGTTACAGAGTAAGTATTTATTTGCTAAGCTAAATATTTACTTTGTAAGCTAAACATGAAGGTATAAAAAATCTGCAGTAATCCGTTTTTTTTCTGCATTACATAGGAGAAGATTTTTAATTTACTCACATGTCCATGTTGTTATGTTTTCCTAATTTCAGTGAAGATCTGTCAGAAGATGAGGACATAGCACCTGGATATTATTTCTGGAAAACATTCACATTACAATGATCAAAACTAAGCAGTAGAAGTAGATCAAAAAGCTGAATCACAATTTTCTTTTAGGATGTGGCCATAAGATTGCAGTTCGGGGAACTTTTTCAAACAAATCTTTTGAAATGTGATTTATAAAATATCTTTGTAATTAACCTGCAATTGACATTGTGGCAGCACAATTTTAAATGTAGAATCTGAACATATTTACAAATGTATAAAGGGTGAAACGAATGACAGCAAGTCTGGCATCAAACAGACTGCAGTACATTATGATTGTAGAGTGGAGGCCAGCAGAGGAAAGTGACTGAACTAATAATCCCTGCACTGCCAGGGACATTGAGGAGTTCCTGAACCAGAAGAGCAATCAGAGAGAGATATGGAAAATAAAAACGAATGCAGTGGAGCAGAAACCCACCAGCAGAGTATGGAGGATGATGAGGGACTTTACTTGCTATGGATGGAAGAACAGTAAGTATGGATTATGATGCCATGAGTTCAAGATATTCAGTTATGTTCTCATGCTTTATATATCTGGTTTTTTCTATTAGTTTCATCAGTTATTCTTTCCTTACAAATTGCTGAAAATCTGTGATAAGTTCTCTGTTTATTTCAGGTTTATACTAAGTCTGACCAACAATGTTTATGGAGTCACCAAGCTCCTGTACTTCAGCCTTCAATAATATCCTGTGTTTCTGTCTTTGCTCTGGTTTCCTGTTTATCATGGCGACATCAAATCCATTGTTTAAATTCTGACTTGCTGACCCTGTATAGTCCAGCGTTTTCTAATAAATAAAATATTTAATTTTAATTATCTTTGCAAAGTACTGACTTTTGTATTGGTCTGCTAAATCCCATTTTAGGTCACCATCACCTGATTCAGTCACAAAAACAGAGCAGAAGTGATCAAACATGGATAAATATTTCTTACCCAGATTGTGAGTCCTGGAGGAGATGCAGGAACTCTTCAACGCTGAAAGAAATACGAAACATCGGCATCAGGAAGGAATCTGGATCTGGAGGTTCTCCCAGTTTAGATCTGTGGATGTTTGTGATGCAGAGCTGCAACTGGAATAAAAGCGATTCCTTTACAAACTCATCCTCAACAGATGAGCGAGTGCTTCATCTGTGCTGCAGAGTGAAGAAGTGTCTTTTTATATGAACCACTTTCTACATTTGTCAAGTTTTTTTTGAACAAAAAAGTTTTGGCTTAATATGAATCAAAATGATCTCTTGACTTCCAAAGATGTAATTTATTCGACAGTCAACATGTCAGGCTGTTGCTGTTTATAAAGCTCTGTTCCCTCATTTTAACATGAAATTACATAAATACGGACGGATTGTCAGAGCATAAGTCAGGTATTGTTGAGCAAACTATATCAGAGAAATATGATTTACTCAATAGCTGGAATATTTCAGATGTGTGTGCAGCGTCATAATCAGACAGATCTGTGACCTGATTGCTAGAAATCTAGATCACAATCATACAAAAGGCTGCAGTACGAGTAGCAGCTGGACTGGTGAACAAGCAGAAAGCCGCAGATATGAAATATGAGACGTGGCACGTGCTTTTTATTAGGCTGAATATACAGGTGAGCTCAAAGCCTAAATAAAAATCTAAAATATAATAGAAAAAGATATAAACATTACCAAAAACAAGGAAACACCCAGTTTCTTTTTTGTCACAGAAACCTTTTTAAATAACTGAAGTAATTGTTTAGCATTCAATTAATTTAATTAAATATGTCAAACGTGGTGGTCACAGCAGATTACTATTGATCCAGTAATGATCTTACCTGTTGTGGCTCAGGAATCTGTTCTGATGGCCGTCAGTGGAGGAACGAGCCGAGTTCAGACTTTTTAAGCTCTGTGGGAGGAGACAGGCAGGTCACAGATGTTTAAAGATAGTCTTGCTAAAAACAAAGCACAGCTTTTGAACTGAGGGTAAACATTTTATGTTATAAAATGATTTCTGTCAAACTGTAAGAACAAAAAGCACATTAAAGATTTTACCATGTTTATTTAGTAAAACAGTCAAAATGAAAAAAATATCCCCCCAAAGAACTGGATTTATGCAAAATGTCTTAATCTAAAGCAGATGTGCTTTCTTATGTAACCCTAACCACAGGTTTAGATTCAAATGGGAAAATAAGTAATAAACTACCACCATAATATAGTACCGTTACCAATATGTTTCTGAGTGTTTACTAGTACAGTTATATAGGGCGGCGTTAACGAGGAAATATATTTGGTTCATCAAGTTGTTGGTGTCAGATCATCTGGTACCTGAATTATATGAAATATGTTCCTCATGCTATTTATGGTTACCCTGGTGCACACTTGTCAGCACTGCTTCCTGTCCTCTGAAAGGTCTTGGGTTTAAATCCCTGCAGGCTGGACTGATTGAACTATTCATGAACTCATAGGAAGGGAAACTGAGAATCAAGTAGAATATATGTTACAGGACTCTCAGCTCACCTTGTTAACTGTTTTCCCCATGTATTCAATGCCATTTCTATATTTGCTCAAATGTTACCACTTTATCTCTGAGTAATTATATGAAGCATTAGTTTAAACTGATGCTTAATATCAGAAACGTGAGATTCCCCCGAGTGGCTGGAGAGGAACGTCTCCTTTCTTAGACTGCTTCCCTTGCAACCCGACTCTGGATAAACAAAGAAAGAGAAAATGGAAAATGAGTTTCAACTAAGGTCTACAAATTAAGCTAAATTCTGCTATTACCACAATACTTTTAACTTGCATATAATCTTTGGCCTCCAGTGGTCACAGGCACTATAGGACTTCTTAAATATTGGTATAAAGTATGTATACATATAAGTCTTATATATATGTACAACTTCTTTTGTTTTAGTCATGATCAGCAAAATTTGGCCTTTTGACATCAAAACTGAAGACAGATTTCTACAAACTAGTGAAAATAGTGACTTGAATAATTATAACTAACATAAAATCAGAAAGATCTGTGATATCAAGACTGATTAATAAAGGAGCTAATACCTTTCCTGGCAATCTTTATTAGATCATACTTGTATTTTGATATACAACCGTCACTTTGATGAATATGAAGTAACCCAAGCAATTTCACTAAGGAAAAATTAAAAATCAAATGATTGAGGTACATTGTACTGGCATTTCATCAAATAATCACCCGGCACCTTTCCAAATTCAGTTAGTGTGCTATTGCCAAACTAAAGGATAGTACTGGAGTTTTTAAAAGGTTAGTATATCTGCGATTGCATATATGCTAACCTTGTTGCTAACCTTGTTCTGTATTCTAGCTCTAATGCTACATCAGAGCTCAGCTGCTGTCCTGTGGTCTGTCATGTCTGAACGCTTCAGTGTAGAAATTCACTGCATTCATGCTGAGAAAAATAACAGGTTTGGTCTCAGTTTTATCCAGGTGTCTGCAGGCACCATGTGTTCTCATTGCATCAATCCCTCAATCACAAGTTGACACTTTCACAGGTCAGCTGATACAGAGCTGCCTCCCTTATTGAGTCAGACAAGACAGTGGTAGGTTGAGTTTAGCCCCCTTTTCACAGATTAGCTTGAAATGAAAAATGTTTCATTTTCTGCCAGAACCTACCAGGTATTTATCCATAATGTCTCGGTAGTCATCTTAACAAGTTTCTTGAATCCTTTGGAAGGAAAACCAGCCCACAGCGTCACCATATATATCAGTGTAGATGAGGTGGTTCTCAACATCCTTTGCTTTTTGCCTCTTGCTGTGTTACAGAAAAGCTCATCTCTAGCTACAGCTACACAAACCTATTTTGATTCTTAGTAGTAGTTTCATAAACTATTTGATCATGGACAGATTTTCACTAACAGATAAGGACAAGTTATTACCTCTGGAAGATTGCTATGAATAAATACAACAGTGACTCTGACATACTATGGATTACCTTAATCCCGGAATGGAGGCGATAACTTTCTATGAACAACTGCAGAGTTAAATTCTCCAGTTCAACACAAACTAACATAAACCTGAAAAACCAAATGGGAAGTAAGGAAGGAGGCTGAGAACTGGCGATTTTAAAAAGAGAAAAACAATTAAAATAAAAGGCCATTGCATTGTGCACATCAGTGACTGGAGTTCTTTTAGGAGGACAAAAAGAAATTATGGCTGAGGTTAACTATTGCCTTCTTTACAATAAAAATACATGCAATAAAGCAATTTTCTGACATATTTAATCATACATAATTAATGCTTCAAATGTTGGCAAATATACACGTTGCATATGCTGTGCATTTTAAAATGACTCATCAAAACAAACACCAAATCGAGGTTTGTGTGAGATGAACATAAAGATTGTATTGATTCTGTCAAAGGGATTACATGGCAGTCAAAGATGTCTCTTTCCTCATTACTCACATTTCTGCAGGAAGATTTCTTTCAACCACTTATCAGCATGGAATGTAAAATTCTATCAAAAACAAAACTCATCATTCGTCTCCAGTCAGACTGAACAGATAGTCCTGTTCCCTGATCCGTTTGGGCTCAGCAGCACTACTGAGCATCCTGACACTTCAGTAGCTGCATAAGTCAATCAGCTGAAGACAGTTGGAGAAGTGGCATGTGTTGCGTGACATACTGTGCATTGTAAAAGGTCTTATCTGAAAAAAGCTGAGGCCGACCAGAACTAGAGGTTTCAGTCAGTGGTTCTGAATGAAGCAGTCGTCTGATTTTGTAGACAAAAATACTCTAATCATTAAAGCTATGAGGGTAGCTTAAAATACTTTCAGTTTCTCTTCACAAAAGTGCAAAAATGTAAAGCTCTGAATTAAAAGCAGGCTTAAAATATAATTGTCAAATTTTCAGCAATGGAGCCCTGATGTAGCAAAGCCAAACAAGCAGCCATGAAAACATGTTCAGGGTTCCTTTCTGTAGAGTAAAGCTGCCTTACAGCCTGTGGGCCACCAGCTTCCCCAACGACAGGACATGATATACATGGCAATAAATCACCTTGTCTTCTCATTCACCATTTACAGGTTTTGGGAAATGTGTGTAGCAGAGTATGAAACCTAAAGATATCCCAGGTCATAAAATACATACAGTGAATCATGAGTACAAGGCTTCAAGATCTTTCTTCTGATAATTATTCAATGCATGTTAACAAAAGGTTGAATGTCCAAAAGTGAAACCTTGTATACCATGCTGTGCATTTTAAAAATGCTTTATCTGCACACAGCCAACCATAACAGCTGATTCAGATCAGTGGTTGTGAATCAAACAAGCAATGCAATGAGGGTCAAATCTATAAAGCTGCTATGAAAATGCTTCTGTTTGCAGAAGTGATAACATTTTGTTCCAGTGTGAGAGAAAACTCCTGCTGAGCAACATATTTGTAGTCATTTTAGCATTTCTGATGAAATAAAATAAATTGCCATGGAAGATAAATGTAAACTTAAAGTCCAGACTTGCAGCACCAACATCGTCTGACTGGAGATTCTTCTAAAAGTTTAAAGTACTTGTGTTGGTATAACTGGGATCCTACATACTAAATGTATGATACTCTTAAATTGAGATATCAGGCTCCATTGATCTTGTTTTTAATATTTAGAAATCTATGAACAGTCATGAATTAATTAAATGTTATGTTTGATATTAAAATCAAAAGCACCTTGTTTAACTTAAAACCAGAAACTTGAGATTAATGGAAATTTAAGTGTTTGTTTCACTTCTTGATGGCATTAATATTCATAGCAAATCAAACTGAAATATGAAGAATGAGACAGTGAGTTTATTTAGCAGGTGTGCAGTTTAGCACAGAGTTAATCAATTAGACAATGTAACAAAGATTAGTTCATTGTTGAACAACTAAAGCTTCAGTGAAATCATGTGACCAGAGTTTCCTCCCCTTCGGACACAATATAAATCTCTGGAAGCTGATTTCTCTTTACTCTTCCTGCCTTGACAGCCTCACTGAACATCGTGAAGCGTAGTTCTGTGTCTGACTGCACAGGTAGGAAAACCTTCTAATTTTCACGGCTCGATTACAAACTGAGACATTTACTTGTTTTGTGCACATTTTTAAATAAATACTTAAACAGCTGTTTAACAATTAGTTGAACATGAATATAGATGGTTACATGAGTAGTTGCACTTTCTCCATTATGATTTTCCTAAATATTGTACATGAATTAGTTTTGAACAGATGAGGGCTGGTAAGTAATTCACAGTGTGCCTGATGTGAGATTAACGACACTCAAACATTAAAACTATTTGAGAAATAACAGTAATAATAACTATTGTCTTTGGTTAGTTGCAAAACCTGTTTCAACCCCGACTGGAGTGAACATCACAACTTCATCATCATGCAAAGAATGTAAGTAGGAAAAACATCGGTTTATTTTTTACAAATAAAGTTTACATTTTCACTGATCACACCAAGGACAAGTTTTCAGTAGCATTCTGCAAATGTTACCTTATTGTTTATGTGTAATAAGAGGAAAATAAGTAAAAATATAAGAAGAATTCAGCTTCTGTAAATTTAGAAAATTTTGAGGTCAAAACATTCATCCTGTAGCTTTTTGTGCACAACTTTATCCAGCATTAGTTAATCAGGTTCATATGCACAGCCTGTGAAAGAAAACCTCTAATTTAAATCAGACACAAATAAGTAAATGTTAAAATTATGGAGTTTGCAACATTATGCTCAGTGCAGCAGCAGGTGTTAGTAGACAATGTAAATACCTGCAGAATATTTATGGTGATGCAATAAATACAGCCAGATTCTTCCCATTTCTGACCACCTTTGTGCCAACTTTGCATTTCAAATTATTCAATAACTTTCTATCATTTTCTCTGCATATTCTTTTCATGTATTAGGCAAACACACTTAA